TAGAATCTCAGATATTGATGTCACACTGATTGGTCTGTACTTTCCTGAATCTCCCTTTTTCCTTTTTTATGAAGATAGACAACATTTCTTCTCCTCCAAATACCTGGCCAATTCTCCAGAATTTCTTAAATAACAGTACATAGTGGTAGCCATTCAATCCCAAGAAAATATATATTTGAGTTAAAGAGGTACCAAAAGGTGCTTCCGAGTAAGCATGGCCACTCTCAACTTGCACTTAGCTTTAGCAAGTATTTTCCTAGAATCTTGCAACAACTATGTCATCTTAGGAGAAGCTACAGCTAATTAAAGAGACACCAACAGGTACAGCATGAGTGGCCTGCTCTGATGCAACTTTTCAGCACATCCCTAGGTTTTTTCATTGTCCATTTCTGTTGCAGAGTCACTTTTCTTTGAACCGATAAATTTTCATCTTTTTTCATCAACTAAAATGCGACCACTCATTGCTTAATTCCTTTGGCTTTTTCTTTAATGACTGTTGTGCTTGAATTCATTACAAATATTGTGCTTGAATTTGTTACAAATGCAGTATATCCCAGATTGCTTTCAGACAATCAGGTAAACATGCCACTAGCACAATATGTCACAACTAGAGACTCCTGCCCAGTCATCTTCATTTTTGCATTCTTAGCACTCCACCACTTCTTTTCTCAAGCTCTCATGTTTGCTAAGTTTCTCTCTTGTCTTAGAGGAAAATTTGTTAGAGGCTTCCCCTTAAATGCCCTCACAAAACTTGTGTTAGCTCTCCCTACTTTCCTGTTCAGTGAAGCAAACCATTTATTATATTTAATGTAGCTTATTACATGTAGCTTTTCAGATGTCATTGGACTTCTAGTCCCACCTGCTCCAGCTAACATATGTAGAACTCAGATACTACGTGGGATGCAGTCCAATAAGATTTGGAGGACCACAGATTTGCTATGTAGTGAACCATTCTATTATTTATGGGGGTCGTCCTTCCATCCATATCCACAAAATGGTCTCCATTCTACAACAGATGGCAAGAATAAAGTAATTTCCATTGGTGCAAATGAAGGGGTTCCCTTTTCTTCTATTATGGTTCAGGGTTTTTCCATCCACCCATTCATTAATATCTCTGGATATGATTTATCTGATTCTTTTTCTTCAATCTTCCTTTCCTATTGCCTACAAGTGAACAGATTTTTAAACAAATAAAACCAACTGAATGTGTCTTCATCATCTGCCTCTGGAGCTGATAAATAAGGTAAAACAATGGGAAAATATTTGTCACCATGAAAATAATTCCCATAAAAATTATTCTCTTTTCATTCAAGCTATTCCACATTCAGCATATTCCAGGGATACAAAATATGACCTACATATTTGGACAGTCAGCTTTCATAGAGAAGGTTAACTTGTGAAAGTACTCACACATTAGAATTAGCAGATTCCCCCTCCCCAAATCCTGTCCCAGATTGTAATTCAAAAAGTATTAGAGTTTTTGTATTGTACTTCTCTTCTAGATTTTTTTTTTAATATTTATTTAAAAGCACTGATAGTTGGGTGCCGATGATACCCAATTATACATCTCTAACCCATGCCAGGCAAGCAATGCTGTACAGATGCTGGCTCCACACCTAAAGGCTATAAGGGCCTGGATGGGGAAAAATGGGCTGACTCAACCCTAGGCAAGATGGAGTGGTTGTGGGTTTTTGGCCCCCCCAGGATCAGGAGAGTTGACATCAAGGTGCTCTACATGGGGCTGTCCTTGAAAACCACCTGGAAGTTGCACCTGGTCCAAAGTGGCACACACAGTTTTGGGTGCCCCACAGTTCACCCAAGTAACACCACTGCTGCGTGAGCTGCACTGTCTTCCAGTTGCTTTCCGGGTACAATTCAAGGTGCTGGTTATCACCTTTAAAGCCCTACATGGCACAGGTCCAGGTTACTTATGGGACTGCCTCTCCCTGAGGGTATCTGCCCATCCTAATAGGTTAGATAGGGTGGGTGCACTCCAGGTCCCTTCCCTTAAATCCTGTCATCTCATGGGATCTCAGAGGGGTGCCTCTTCAGTGGCCACCCCAGCCCTTTGGAACAGCCTCCCATCTGAGATACAAGGGATCCCTATCCTTTTAGTCTTCTGGAGGGCTGTGAAGACCGTGAAGACCTGGTTCTTCCCCTGAAGCATTGGGCTAGGATGGAAGCTGAGCTGAGAGAATTATTGGTCTGGCCCCTGGGGGGAGGGCACTTTTGCTTTGAATTATGTTTTTTATGGCAGTTGCCTAGAGTCATCATATGAGACAGGTGGCTATGTAAGTCCTGCAAATAAATAAATAAATAAATGCTATGCATAAATAATCACATCAAAATGCTTTTTGCTCGATAAACGTGTTCTCCTTTTTTGTAGTAGCAGATGAAATACATATAGCATTTGTTTTGTTCCCTATGGTAATGAAAGCAGGATCCCAGCATATTAAAACTGTATGCAATACATAGATGCTTAATGAAATGCAGATACTGCCTGTATTGCAAACAATTACCAATTTAGTCAAACCTAGTTTTTTTTTAATGCTGCACCCTTGGGGCAAATTGAAGTGAATGGTTGCCAGGCTTTTACTGCTTTTAGAGGTATGGGATGGCAAGGCTGGATATGCCACTTTCTGGGCCAAAGTCCTTCTCTATAACTTGCTTACTTCTGTGGCATTGTTATCTAATTCTGCTATCTTATATCTGCTTCCTAGACAACCTGGAGGCTGTTGTGCTATCCTTTTCTCATCCCTGCTACAGGGGTGGACTTCAAGAATGTCTTGTGGTAAAACTCCTAAAGGTATCCAACTGAAATTTTAAAGTTCTCTAAACTTGTCAAAAAGGAAAACAGTTTCAAGTGTTTTGTCGTTTTCCCATTATAGCCCATATAGACAAATATTTTTTAATAGAATCTTGAATATCAAAATGGCTTGCCAATCAAATCACATCAAATCACAAACTTGAATCAAATCATATCCTCTTCATGTTTCCTAGTCAAATCTAATCAAGCCTGCTTTACATAGGAAAACAGAATACATGTGAAGGAAAAACATGAACTCTTAAAAAAACTAATTTGAAGAGCAGGTTTGTTTTTCATGCCCCTTCCAATGGGCTTTAGTTGCAGTGATATGGTCAACTGCTTGGAACCTTTGCAAACAGGCAAGTTGTGTTATTTCAAATCGAGCATTTGAATCTAAGTGTTTCATTCTGGGATTCAATATTCTTACAACACTGGAATACATTAGACAAACAACGAATAACTTGGCTCAAAACTGGAAGCTGCCAAAATGCATTTTAAAAGGGCTGACTGGGGTTCTCTATGTCTCAAAGAGCATTCTTCTTCACGCTATTACAGTTAGCAGAGTCTTTTACACGGAGGCAGTTGCAGCAAATCTTCTAGTCACGTAGCTGAAGAAGCTTCAAAGAAGTTTCACTGGCTGGAAGAAAAGTCTAGGAACTAGGAGAGCTCTCCCCCGTTCCTTTCTTGACCCATTCTGGCATTATGTTAGTAAGAGGTTAAGTCTAATGCCTATGTTGTTGTTGCTGTTCGGTCGTTAAGTCGTGTCCAACTCTTCGTGACCCCATGAACCATATTGCGCCAGGCCTTCCTG